GTAACCCTCAGTCCAACACCGCCAACACTAACCCTCACACTAAATAATATGTATCGCCGCGCTAATATAGGCATTGTGATCCACAAAAATTAATCTAGTGTGGGGACAGATATCATGATGCAAAAACCTTAAGTGCGCACGTTTCGTTCAATGAATCCATTGGATTTCGGGTACCTGGGGCTACTAGTCACGCCATCTATCTGCCATGACTGTAGAAACTGCCTAAATTCAGCTGAGCCAAATTGTGGGCCGTTATCGGACATGATACGCTCAGGTCGTCCGTATTCTGACAGAATCTGTTTTACTAGTTGGACGACTGCACCTGTTGTGCATGCTCCTACTATTTTCCTTACTACGGAAAACTTTGTGTAGTAATCTACGTTGTGTGGTAATCTCACACTTCCAAACACATGTAGCAGAGAGCGCGAGTCTCTCGTGGAATCTCGTACGCTCTCGTGCACGTCATAACGTTACATCGTTACATAGTCTAGTGGGCCTAACAGTAACAGTACAACGATTAACATTCCACAACCCATTTCAAACGTAGCCAGTCTCGGTCGGACCCTTATACACAGGAAAATGTATAGTGAAATATCGCTTATGTCGCCAATCTTATAACGACCTGCCAGGTCCTACACAGTAAAATTCCATTTGGGAATTAAACCTACTTTCATACAATTACATGAATTATAGTGTGCTGCTTCTTGGTTACTTTTACCTATAACATGTTAACTCTAAACACGACAAAAAGTTGTACTCACAAAACATTATGGAGCCTAGCAATTCTAGAAATTATGTCCTCAAAATATCAACACAACACCATCATGGCCTTCACCAAGTCGACTTCTCGTGGCTCTCGTCTGCACAGGCCCAGAACCATATGCTCAGAACACTATCCACTGATCTCTACTATACTAACTGGATATATAGCTCTTAGCCCTATCCACGCTCAGCGTGAATGTGACGCCACCGCGCCACCTGCCGCCATCTTGCAACCACTCCTCAAAGCTGAATCTGCCGGTCTGTGCCCCACAACATTTCAAATGAAAAATAAGAAAATGCGACGTATTCTATTATTCAAATTAGCATGAAAAAAATATTTGATCAATACTTAAAAGATTATATAAATATGGATATGTATATGTCTAGATATATACAGCTAGAAGGAAAGAGAAATGCACGGTATAATAGTTTTTCACGTGACGTCACGAGTCACGTGCTAAGGCGTCGTGGCCTATTCTACCAATTATAAAAGTTTTTTATGAGTCATGGTCAATTCTACTTGATTCCATAGACAGCAGTTGTCAAATCCCACTCTTATGAAAACAAACTGAGATTATGTATATATATATATATATATATATCAAGGGTTAATAATGACCCACAATAACCAGGAGGTGCTGCCACCTGGATTACAAACTAATACTGAACAGTGCCATAATTGCTCGGCGGCTCCAACATACCGGCCCCTCAATTATATTTCTATAATTGACCTACCTCTTTTCTCTTGGAGCCTGAATAACTAATTTCAAAGGGATACAACAATAATTTCAAATATCGACGTGAAACATATCAAAGCACAACAATCCCATGAAGTCCGTATCCGAGCCCGTCTCAGGACCAACACACCCAAACACCACGAAACTCACAGTCACAAATTAGTGACTATACACAATACGCAAGGGTAACATACGTGACATCGAAAATTACATGAAAACAGACTACACTGCAAAAACCAATATACCTGGCATTCAAAACCAACTATGGCCAATCTTCAAATGTCTAACGCCTAATCCATCTCTAGGATGGTACACACCTTATCAATAGAACGAGTGAGGATATTTGCCCAAGTCTGGACCCTAACCTGACGCACCGAACCTTTCCTGTCTGGCATGGTCTCGATCGCCCTTCCGAGTGGCCATGAATTCCGCGCAACCTGCTAGTCTACAACTAACACAATATCTCCAACCTTCATGTTTCTCCTCTGAGTCGACCATTTTTGGCGCTCTTGTAACAAAGGCAAATACTCGTGCACCCAGCGCTTCCAAAACCTGTCTGCCATATATTCCATCTCCTCCTACTATAGGAATCCTCATTGGAGAACAATCCTAGAGGCAAGCTCGGCTTCCCCTTCAGCAGGAGCAAGTGGTTTGGGGTCAGCGGCTCCAAGTCACCTGGATTATCCGAGTTCATCATCAAGGGCCTACCATTAATCGTGGCCTCAACTTCGCACAACAACGTGTGGAGACCTTCCTCGTCCAACGTTTGCTCGCGCACCAAGCAGCTCATAATCTTACGAATTGATCTAATCTGCCTCTCCCAGATCCCGCCATGGTGAGAACCTGCTGGCGGGTTAAAAACCCAATCGATGTTCTTCTGAAGCATCGCGCTATGGATCTGAACCAGATTCCAACCGTTTATCGACTCCCGCAGTTCGCGCTCGCCGCCACAAAAGTTTGACCCATTGTCCGATCTCATCCGCTTCACCTGACCCCTGCGAGCTACGAATCGCTGTAAAGCATTAATATAAGAGGCTGTATCCATCGAAGCCGCAACTTCAATATGGATCGCGCGTATCGCGAAGCAGGTAAACACTACGCCGTAGCGCTTTACGACTGAACGACCTCGTTTTACTTCGTACAGACCGAAGCAGTCTACTCCGACATTCGTGAATGGTGGTTGATCCGGTACTAGTCGGTCCTCGGGTAGATCGCTCATTTTCTGCTCCCCGACGGGAGACCTCTGTTTCCTACACGCCACGCATGTTGAGATCATTCTTCTAATAGCAGATGGCGCCTGAATTACCCAGTACCGCTCGCGCAACTTTGACAACGTGTGATTCCTGCCCGAATGCCTAACATCCCTATGTGTCTACCTTATAATAAGCGTCGCGACGTGAGTGCTCTTCGGCACAATTATAGGGTGTTTCATATCCTGAGGCAAATTCGCCCTATCTAACCGTCCACCTACGCGAAGCAAACCGTCGCCGAGAACTGGATCTAGTCTACGGATAGAACTTGTTTGCTTTACCTGTAAACCGCCATTCGTAAGCGTATCAATCTCAGCGCTGTACACCAACCTCTGTGCAGCTTGGAGAATAGCTCGTTCGGCACCCTCCATCTCGTCCACCATTAGCGGCTCTCCGCTAAGTTCGACCTTAACCTCATTATCGCTCCTATTCTGAACTTTGCGCAGCAACATTCGTTTAATGCGAAGCAACCAAGCGGTTGAGCGCTTCAGGTTGTACCATGTTGAATGGTAACGCAACAGCCTATCCATTGTGTCGCGAGCCTCCTCGGACATGTCAGACGCGATCTTAACCGCCGCCACAGTTGCCTTCAACTCAGGATCAGACTCCACGAGCTCGGTGTCTACGCGTTGATCCTCCTGGTGAGAACTCCAGAGGAGGTCCGGCCCCTGTAGCTATCGCGTACACTCCAAGTAGTCGTCCGCTGTCAAACCTCGTGAAGCGTCGTCCGCCGGGTTCTGATTGGTCGATACGCATCTCCACTGCGATGGATCAGAATGCTGATGAATGGTTTCAACGCGATTTGCGACAAACGTTCGGAATCTGGTGGTTTCATTAGCGATATACCTAAGTACCGTCATAATATCGCTCCAGAACACACTCTTGCCCAATGCCAGCTCGTCACAGAGCTCTCTCTGTAACATGGCGTCCATTCGAGTCTTGGTATCGTAACGCGTTTTAGCAAAGATACTCGTGCCTTTCCCATCAAGAAAGTGCAATGAACCCTACCGTCGCCATTGGTTAGGCGCAGGTATGATACCAATCCGTAATCCACCTCACTCGCGTCGGCAAAGTGATGAATCTCGGACGACTTTATAGCGCCGAAGCCCGCTGGCTTATAACATCACTGCACGTGAAGTTTGACCAACTTAGGAAGATCCTTGAGCCAAACTAGCCACCTGGCCTTCTGACCCGGAGGAATGTCCTCGTCCCAGCCGAGCTTCATGTCGCAGAGTTCCTGCAGAAGCACCTTGGCTGTGAGTACGAATGGCGCCACAAATCCGTGGGGATCGAAGATAGAACTTACAATGGACAGAAGCCCTCGTCTGGTGGCTGGCTTATCATTGACCACTATCCTAAACCTGAAAGTATCCGACTCCATCAGCCATTCGACACCTAACACGCGTTCTATAGGCAGACTACCCCGCTCTAAATCGATTCCCTTCACATCCTTCGCTAGATCCTCCTCCGGTATTGTCCGCAGCACGGGTCTACTATTACTTCCCCACTTAGTCAGTTTGAATCCTCCGTCGTCGCATACCGCGCGCAAATCTTTGGCCAAGCTTATTGCTTTCTCGTCATTCGGTACCGCTTTTAAACAGTCATCCACATAAATATTCCTCTTGATTGTCTGAATAACCTCAGCGGGGTAAGAATCCTGGTTGTCCTCTGCCGTCCTATTAACCGCATAGCTCGCGCAACTCGGCGACGATGTCGCGCCGAAAATATGCACCTTCATGTGGTACACAGAAAGCTCACCATTGACGTTACCTTCGGGCCACCACAGAAACCTCAACATATCTTGGTCATCCAGTGGCACCCGAACCTGGTGGAACATTTCCTCAATATCGGAAGTGAGCACCACTTCCTCTCTCCTAAAGCGCAACAGAACACCAACTAATGTATTTGTAAGGGTTGGCCCTTGTAATAGCTTATCGTTCAATGACACACCCTGGTAGCGCGCGGCACAATCGAAGACAACGCGAATTTTATCGGGTTTGTGGGGGTGATACACCCCGTGGTGCAGCAGATACCACACCCTCCCGTCATCGCGATTCACTTCTGCCTCATCCACTTTCTCTGCATAGTCCTTGTTCAATAAATTGTTAACGAACGCCTCTTAGTCCTTGAAGTATTTATCGTCGGACCTTTCGAATTTCTTCGCCAAACAACGAGCACGCTGTCTCGCATGAGATATATTGTTCGGCAATACAACGTTGTCCTTCAACGGTAATCCTATCTCGTAATGCCCATCGTTGAAAACGGTGCTCTTCTCGAGTTTTCCCATGAAAATCCTATCCTCGACGGAGTACCCGTGTTTCGCTTCATGGGGACGCTCAACAAAGTCTAAATTGAAATAGTCTTTCACCTGTTTCTGCAAATCGCAATCACTAATCTGTTGACTACTGATAGAGATCCTGGGACTACCCATCGAATCAGCGCTACCCTTCAGTGGGCCGTTCACTGCCCAACCCAGCACGGTTTGGACGGCAAATGGCCCGTTGCCCTGACTATTTACAACCCGCCATGGCTCCAACACTTGCGGAACATTGTTGCCTAACATCAAACATTTGCGGTAATACTCGGAATTTTCACTTCGCGCAGGTACGGCCATCTATTGACATCTTCCTGGGTCGGTATCTCCTCCCTTGATACAGGCAACTCACTCATAGTATACACCTTGGGTAGGCGAACAGTGTTCTTACCAAGGAGGCCTGTGACCTCTAACCCAGACACAATATGACTGGACACAGACTGCTCCTTGTTACCCATGGTTGACAACAACAACTGGGTTCTTCTCCCATTCTGATCGAGCTGATGCAACAGCTCGTCAGAAATGAAAGTAGCCGAGCTACCCGAATCTATAAATGCATAGGTTTCCACCGACCTACCATTTGCCTTGACAATTACAGGTAATACTGCCATTGATCCTACCGGATTCGCGCCATTGACACAATGTACATCACCTTTCTATCTACCTTTAACCCAGCGGTGTCCTCCCCATTTGCTTCCTGATGCTGAACCTTATGCAGAACTGTAGGGTGTAAACTACTACAAATCTTACAACTTAGCCTAATCCTACAATGTTTGCTCCTGTGCCCAAACCTAAGGCATCCAAAACAAAGCCCTTTGACCTTTAAAAAGTCAATCTTATCGGTGTGCAATTTAGCTTTAAACTTGCATCAGGAATCGATGAAGTGCTCCTCGTCGCAGAAGTGACAACTTTCTTTCTTGTATTGTTGTTCCTTTGTAGTTGACTTCGGTCCGGCCCCAGCAGCAGTACCAGCCTCTACAGTGGTTACCGACACCGCGAGTCCTCTCGCACGCGGCAATTTAAAACGGTAGTCTTGCTTCCCGCTCGTTCTACCACCGGCGTTACTGCTAGACGTAGCAGTCGCGGCGCCCATGACGTCCTTTCCGTAGACCGGATCTATTGCCTTCTTAGTCTCGCGACGTACAAAGCTTACGAACGAGTCGAATGTTACCGTCTGGTTTCGTTCTCTCGTGGTCTGCACGACCCCTTGCCATCTATCGTGGAGGTAATACGGCAGCTTACCCACGAGCAACCTGATGTTGTCCAAATACTCGAACACTCGAGCGGCATCCACACTTTGGACTGCATATTGACACTCAGTCAATGTCAGAGAAAATTCATCAAGCGCCTTGGCATCGTTTGATCTGACCACTGGCCAATCCAGGGCCTTTCTAACAAAGGCACGCGCTATAACATCGGGGTCGCCGTACCTAGATTCAAACTCTCTCATTGCCGCTTCATAGCCAACTTTAGCGTCTAAGTGTGCGTATCCCAAGACAATCTTGCGCGCTTCTCCCGCGGTGAACTGCTCCAAAAAAATTAATAGCTCGTCCCATGAATCTGTATTTGTGACTATTCTGGTTTTAAACTGTCGACGGAATATTCTATAGTCCATAAGACCTCCACTGAACTTTGAAATGTCTGTAGCTGGTTTCTTTAGCTCTCGTGCTACCGCCAACATATCCCACCGACAAATCCACCTGGTGGCGCATCACGTAACGCTAGACCGACCGCGGTTAAGCCAGTCGCGGACACTAACGATTCCACGTCGCGATTCGGAAAGGTGCGCACGTTGTCATTCTGAAATGTGACGTCATGCCTAAAGTGGTCACGTGGCTCCGGATCTACTGTGGGTAACCCGGTCGCGGGCACAAATATTTCCGCGTTGCTATTCGGAGAAACGCGAATATTACCGGCGATGTCGTGCGCGTTGTCACGAGTCGTGTGTAGATTGCTCTGATGTGTGACATCGTCGTACTTAACGTGACCGCGTGACCCATTGCCGGTCGTTAACTCGTCCTCAAATTTGGTCAGCACATCGGTTTTTGCGTCAACTACTGCAATCTCAGTTTTCAAGTTAAGCTCTCTTTCCTTTATATCAAGGTCCAACCTCGCCTGGTCGATTTTGCTCTGCCCCTCTAGCGCCGCAACCTTGGCCAGTAGTTCGGCCTTCTTCTGGTTCTCCTTCATTCTGGCGAGGCTGATACTCGATATCACTGAGGAACCCGCGTGAGATCCTTCTCTCGAGGCTCTAGGCATATCGGGTTTAGAAATATTGTCCGCGTTCTCGGACTCCTTATTCAGCCATTCTTCAACCCGAGTTTTAATGCCACGACACGTTCGGTCTTTAATCTCATAAAATCCTTGGTAATCATCCTCGGTCTCAGCATCGTTCAGCATTTTCTGGCACTTGCCATGCGACACCATGAACTCTTCGTAGTGTCGCATCCATACTGAGTATTGTTTACAAACTTCCGATAGGCTGGTGTCGATATCAATATCGTCGATTAGCCTTCTCGACAGATAACTTAGTGCTTTGTACTCGTCTGCTCGTCTCCTCATCCTACAGTCCAGCTCATACGCATATCCTTTGGGAGTTAGTTTTCTCTCCCTTTGAACTTGACCCGGTTCACCTATGCCGCCTGTGCCCATGTTGGACTATCACCGTTGTCGATCCTATACGCAAGAGTTGACTTTTTGGTACCTTGCAGCCGATCCTTATCCGTGTTTTTCAATAAATGTAGGTGGTGTTGACCTCCAATACAGAACAACTAATCTCTTTTTCCATAAGCGTTTAATCATACTAAAACGATTGACTGAAATACAAAAAACAAACCAAACTTTAGTTCCCAAACTACAAACCAGGGGGAGCAACCACACGGTGCCACAACAATCCTTATTCACACAAACTATTCAACCAAGCTTAGTCTGTAATATTATGGATCAACGCATGTTGTTTGTTGATATAATATTTATTGTTGTGAGGAGCCATCCTCAAACACAGCTCACACTTCCAAACACATGTAGCAGAGAGCGCGAGTCTCTCGTGGAATCTCGTACGCTCTCGTGCGCGTCATAACGTTACATCGTTACATCCCCCTTTCCAACTGGAACGTTACATCCCCCTTTTTTATAACAAAAACATGACAATTTATTTTTAACTTGCTGCGGTTTGTATCCACATAACTGACTGAGAACTGAAAACATAACATAATGTCATGATTCTTGTGCAAATATCCTTGCACTGTGTGAATAATGTTCCAAATTTTTATACAACGTTCGTCGCCACAAAAAAGTTCACAAATAAATGCTTTCCGCATACCGGAATGTTCACAAATAAAACACTGTTAACTGGATTGTTCATCGCTTTGTACATCTTTACCAGTTAACTAAACAAATAACGATTCAATTCTAAATCAAAACATCGGACTTATGCGATTATGCGCACCACAAATCATAGATTAATATAATAGTTGTTTTTTTTTTTTTTTTTTCTTTTTTTTTTTTTTTTTTTTTTTTTTTCTATTGGTATGTGTATTCCGTGCACATTTTTAAGGTTGTACTGAATAACGGTTTTCGGTCGGTCTAACCTGCCGCCCTGAACGGGTTCTATATGTGTCATTGTTGACCCTACGCGCCAACAGCGCACTCTG